TAACGGCAAATACAAAGCGCATAGTAAACATAAGTAAAAATGGTGACCGCCAATGTAACTAAAGTTTAGAAGGTTCAGATAACGTGACCATTTCGTAAAAGACTAATGCAAAAGCTTATTATCTGGTGTTAAGTGACATATTACGCACGGCAAAGCGTCTAGTTAGAACATGGACTGATTGCTCGTGTACGTGCAATACGCTTTTCCACAGTATGTCGACTTACGAGCCATAGATATACATGATTTCGACTAAAACTTCACGGCAGCGACAGAATGTTTATTTACCCTGTGTGAAAGCAACCATGAAATGTTATTAGCCATCATAAACGCAGTATGAAATTATCTAATGCCTCGCCTGGGTTTCTTTCACTTCCAAGTAATGAGAACGTTGCTATGTGGCTATACTTACGAGTGGTTGATATTTTAACAGACATATTACACAGGAGCATTAACATGTTGCTAATGCTTGTTAAAGAGCCATGATAGCCGATTACAATCGTAGTTGAATAGTTGGTTCTATCGGTTGAGCTAATTATTTCAGTTTAAATACTAACCACTATTTATATGATGCAACGAATGTTCACAGTAATTGGTTGACTTAGAAGACGATAAAAACGAAAAGGAATGATTATAAGATGCGATAATAGAAATTATATTTTAATAGGTTGCGTTATTCGAAATCTTGCTGACCAGTGTATATCACCAACGCAGATGATCTATGTCGAGTGATTGAGGGCCTACTCGAGTTAGACGGGAATGGTGTGATGAACCAGCTAACTTCGAAGTGACACTTCACGGTCAGCACTAAATGTGGATTACACTTTCGTCGTATCAAGGTACTATAACTGCTTCGAAGACCGTATGACACGAGGGACGTCTTTACAGAAATGTATTGGTAAAAGTAAGTACTCTGAAGAAGTTTCGGCCACCGTAGTATGGATTAGTCCATGGCGTGTGATTAATTGATGAGCGTCGGTTGTCCCTGAACTTAACAAGGATCGGTGATCTATTCGATATTCAGTGACCTGACTGCTGTATGATTTGGCCAAGGTCCACTGAAATTCTGCTGGTCCTACATGTCTGTCCTATAGTATTAAGTCTCTCTCATCCGGAGACTTAAAACTACTTTTAAAAGCCTCGTTCGATTCTAATTTAATTCTTTTTGGCTACCTAGTCTATAAATCTGTTGCAGTCAATAAATCCTCAAAATCACCAGCTTTGTAAGTTTTCGACATTTGATGCTGACCTCATTAGTTTCACTGAATTCACTCAGCTTATATTGCACATCCACACCAGATATCGAGTGTGTCGTGCTACACATCTACAACTGACAGCCAGCTTATATTAATCACTTCCCGATGATATTGATAGCTTATCATGTATATCTTCAAACTCCCTCACTTCTGAATTTGTATTTGGTAGGTTGTTTCACTTTAATTGTAAATGTGTTACTGGCTAAGGCATTATCATACCACGAATACTTGTGGCGTCTCTCATTGGATTAGTAATCGCGGTCGCTTTACACATATTGTGGGGTATTGGGTGATTGACAATGACTCGGGTAGTCAATGTGTTGTTTTTTTTCTGCTAGAAACAGACATAATCTTGCGATTAGGCGGTTTAAGCGTCAACTGCACGCTGCCTTCTGGAGGGCTGGGGACAGGAGAAACTTCCTTTCGCTAGCTTTCATTTTTAACAGACCTCTTTATTAACCATCCTTCCTCCGTTGGCCCATGTAAGTCAATGGACTTTGAGCTATTTTGAACTAACCTCACTTCAGTTTGTGTGTAGACTGGGCGAGTACGATTCAATGTGTCTCAACTACGCTTGCTAATACTCCCTTTGGCAGCATTTAACCATTGTAATGGCTTCGGAAAGCAAACTGTTTGTGTTTGAGTAGCATTTCTGATGCAACCACATGCAACTATTTTTGCTAAACCGTTTGAAATCCACAGGCGTTAGAAACGTGCAAATTTCGTGGTACCATCCTTTGCACCCAGAGACAAAAGATGCCGATAACCACAAGACTGTTAATTGTCCGAACAATAAGGACCAATGTACTGAAAAGTACATATGACAAATTATTCCCGAAAAAAAGATTCTCTTGGCTGTTACTTTCAAATGGATCAAATGGTTATGGATGGAATAGAAGAAGCTTTTACTTAGCGGGCTTCCGTGTGGACCATCAATACATCCAGACAGGAACCTAGGTATACTAACGATAATCGAGAAAAATAAAGAAATTGGTAAATCACAATAAAATGTTACCTCAGTCCTTAAGAATAGGTCAAGTTTCCCCTTAAAGGACTCCTGGGAAGTCGCTTGGACTAGTACAGCTGGCAAAGAATTCCAGCATTTGACAACTCATAAGCAATAAAAGTTGTGCTTACATTCCACTCTGCTATACTGTATCTCCAATTTCTAGATGTTACCCCTTAGGTTTGTATTTGGACTAAGCTTGAGTTCAGAAGTGTCAAGGATACTGCAAGCCATTAGGAGGTCACCTCTAAGACGCCTATATTCTAATGGGTTAAGGTTAAATGATTGGAGGCACTCTTCATAAGGTTTAAATTTGAGTCCTCAAACTAATTGAGTGGCGATGAATAAAACTGTTGAAGATGGTGTAGAAAGTTCTACCGTCGAACTGATCGAAAATGCGCCTCAATGTTACAAATGCAAGATTTGCTCGAAAGGCACTTCTGTCACGGTTAGCGTAAAACTTCAAATCGTAAGGTACCGGCACTCATAATCCTTTTTCAACTTTGGATACTTCCATAGAGAAGTTTCTGAAGTTGTAACTGTAGTCTGCAACATGTCTCGGACACTTCACACTTTGAAGTGTTAAAGGTAATTCCGTTGTCGTCTGCCCAACTTTGAAGTCGAGTCAGATCCTCCTGAAGTGCCAGTATATCCTCTTGGTTGCGTATCTCTATCTCTCCAAAGTTTCACGTCATCAGCAAAATTGATAAGTCTGACGATACCTGTTGTGGAAGATTATTTGCATAAATCATGAAGAGGAAAGGTCCTAGTACTGAACCCTGAGGACCCCAATAGAACATTCCATATCCTGAGAGGAATTGAAATTAACCCTAACCTTGAAATGTCGATTTTTCAGATATGAAATGAGCCAATCAATTAGAGGCGGTTTGATACCCAATTGTCTGAGCTTTTTGATAAGACATAGATGGTTGACCATATCAAAAGCTTTTGAGAAGTCAATGTAAATGACATCAACCTTTTCCTTGCGATTAAGGATGCTTGTCCATCTGTCCATTGCAGTCAGAAGCTTGGTTATACAAGAATGACGATTCCTGAAACCATGCTGTTGGGGTGAAAAGAAGTTTAAGGATAGTAAATAGTCATGTATACCGTTGCATATCAGGGACTTCATAACTTTTGAAAGTATAGAGAGAATGGACACCGGTCGGCAACTCGAAGGTTCGCTGCGTCGACCTCCTTTGAAAATTGGTGTGATGTAAACCAGAGCTTTAGGGATGTTGCGGATGAAGTTGCGCTCAGAATACGGTATGTCGGGCAGTATTCTTACGTTCCCATCGGATTTCAGTAAATGACTAGCTAGCAGGGCATCCTCTACGTCGGTAGCATTCCTAAGCGTTGCTAGAAGTAGCCTCGGGTGATTTTGATGCTTGGATTCTTTTCCCCAAGTGAGCCGTGTGACCGTCAAAGGCTCGACACTAGGAAGTCCAAGTTCCTTGTTCAATTCACCTCAGAACATCCTGTCATTTTTGTCCTGCAAACTGAGAGGAAGATCAGGGTTGTCTTTGAGGCTCATGATTACGAGAGAGTCATCACGAACAGTTATTGTTTTTCCAGGCTTTCCGTTGCGTTCAGGTTTAGCACATTGTTGTTTGGAGGTCGAAGCACATTGATGAATCCTAGGCTCTTTGATGATCGGATGGACATTCTTGGGGGTAGACTGAGCGATCAAATCACCAGTTGATTTCCGTACAATAATTGGGATGTTCAGCTTAGACGGTGACGCCTGGTACTCTCAAGCTTTGTTAACGTGGGTCTAATCGCCTACAGAGTTTTGGGAACTACTGTTGGATTCAAGTACCCTGTGCTGGGAGACCCGAGTTTGCTGAGGGAGTCTATTACCGTCAACGTAATGATGGTGCTGAGTTTCAGCATTTCATCATTAGTGCTCATGCGTCGATCATAGGCCTGCCGACATTCCTCTTCTTGTTTTGATTGCGCGTCTTTGTTTGTCTACCCGCTTCCAAGTTTGCTGATAACTTATTCCGCAGACCGGTCAATAGGACAATGATGTTACCCAGCAAAACTACAGCGTCCGTGTTGCATGTGACACATACACACTTATAATCCGACTTGCTGAGTCTGTTGTAAGCAGTTGATGTGAGATCTGTGCATGTTTCATGGAACCAACCTTTGCCGTTATCACACTACATGCCAGATGTAACGGTAAAACGGCATCCAGGTCGTTTGCATGATTTTTTCATCGCTATATTGACGTAAACTGCATTATGGATGCTAGCGAAAGCCTAAGACCGAAGAGATACACTAAAAAGCCCACTAAAACGAGTTAGATAAACTGAAACTAGCATTTACATGAAAAACTGAAAAAAACCGAATAGTAAGCTGAGGCAAAAATGCAGTTAACTATTAAATTGGGTGAAGCTCGAAAAAAAGCAGTCTACCGAAAGTATAGCTCAGAATAAATTCTCTAGATCAGAAATGGTACTTTTGTTGCGTAAGAACATAGCAAAAGTTTGCTAAATGCGAATCACGTTAGGACTAAACTTCCTGTCTGAAAAGTGGGCGTGTCGAGCTAATCAACAACTGAGATAAATTGAATCAAAGCAAAAGCAGTAGTCTTGATGCGTAATGAATGACCAAAACAATAAAATTAACTCAGCGATGAAAAATACAACACTCTTTTTTACATAGCGCGCTATCAACTTTTTGTTTCGATTTTCAAGGTTCTCTTAATCTCGCGCTATTATCGCTTTTGGTTGTCGTCATTTGCTCTCGTTTTTAGATGTAGGTGCATTCTGTGTGCTTGCTGAGTCTTCGGGTCACTTTTCTTCTATTCTTTTCCATGTAATCTTACTATTCTTAACACCCCGAGCATACGAAGTACCTTCAAGGTAGACATAAACCTACCTAAGGCTGTACGTTACAGGTAAGTAGGCGTGGGAGTGACGATACACTAGAATCGTGGGGAAATCCCCAAAGTGAAATAACCCTCACCAAAGTTTGGGGAAATCCCCAAAGCTGATATATCGGCTAATTAGGAGGTAATGTTTAGTTGTAAACTAATTAGCTATAAAAAAGAGTAAAGTAACGGTAAACAAACGGCATTTTTATGGCAAATTAGCCCTAGTGTGTTGAATTATTCCCCATACTTTAGGTAAGTTGTTACGTCTACATGTTAGTAGTCAGGTTAGAATCCCATGAGGTTTTCGTCACCAACTGATATCAACTACGATGCAGTGATGGTTTACCAGCTCTTTGTTCACAAACCTAATAAACTCATTGCTGATATTGAGTCACGAGTAAGAGTGGCAAAATAGTCTAGTCACATAAACACTGCTATGCATATTGAGAGCCAGGCACTGCCAGTTTTTACTTAGTTCATAGCAACACAAAAGTTGTCCTTCACTTCTATTGGCTCACTTTTAATACTGGTTGGTTTATTCAGAGCTATCAGCGTATTATACTTCCACCTTCAATATTTTTCTTTTTTGCCACTCTTTGGGAACAAAACAGGAGTAAGTTGCATTCACTTGCGAGAAAGCCTTGGATCTTGGTTCCTTACTACTTAACACGCCAGCAAGATGTATGTGTGTGGTGTTTGTCGTTAACGTCTCAAACTGGAGCTGGGTGATGTGGATATGAATCTCACAGAGAGCATCAACTCCTTCAATGTTACACGTGTGTCCTACGATTGTAGTGTTTCATTGCCAAAGTGAACCTGTTGTGCCCTTGTATCATAGAAATGACATTGTATGAATAGGACAAAATTCTTACATCAGCGAATCACTATGGACTGATCCTATTTTGCTTGTTTATTATAGGCTTCAGGATCATGTAGTGTAAGAATGTTTAGATATACTTTTGTTCAATCAAACTACTGATTACTGACAAGTGTACATACAGACTTGAGAGTTACGAAGAGTTGTTATATTCATGGCAACTCTGAGGTACTGATGTCGGGTAATGTGAATGGTTTTCTGTATCAGAGATACTTTAATTTTAAGACAGGAACATGTTTTTTTCTCTAGAGGAGCAGTTGTATGATTTTTCAATATAGATAAGAGTTTATCTTTTTTCTAGATAATGACTTCGAACCTTGGGTTCTTTAATTTAATGGACAACTTTTTGCCATCAGATAAGTGTTTACTAGTGAATGACTTAGGGTGTACTTCTTATAGTACCAGGTACGAAAGTTTCTTTGTTTAACAATGATCTATAAAGTAGTGTTTCTTGTCCAAATTCATCTTGCCTTTGTGTCACTGAGGATCTACAGCTGATGGAACAGCATTATGCAACTTGTCATCATCATTCATGTTCACTCTGTGGTTTAAGTTTTATATCTTCACGGATTCTTTCGATACATGAACAAATTGCACATTGTGGAGCTTTTAAACCAAAGGTAAATACGCAGACAGTGGTTTAGCCATTGGATTTCAGCTGGACTGTTTTCTCGTTGTATGTCCTCAAAAGTTCTGTGACTCTGCCGAACTTTTCGCACATGCTTATGATTGCCATGGGCTTCTTCCTGACTCGTCAGTGCTTATAGGTACAATGATAAGTGTCGAAAATCTCAATTCCAATAAAATTGTAAGAACATTTTATATAATCCTTGTATTGAATACATTTAATAGCTTTTCTCTTAATAACAGTTTTTCAATTAACCGGTTTTTTTTCGTTTCGCAAAAATAAACTAAAAATTAATTAGCTAAGTAGATAAAAATGGGTGTTACTCTGTCCAGCGTTAGGTTAAACATCAGGTAGGATTTATCCCACTAGTTGTTTAATGTAAATATTACATGACGCGCAGACGAAAACGTGTGAGTGCGAGTTGTAATGTACACTATAACATTACGAGTAGATAGAATATAAAAATGATGCACGAAGTGCATTAGTACGAACGAACAAAACTATCAAGTTCGAAAACTTCCATACAGATCGATTTTGACAAAGCATGTCGCATTAGTGTGTAATAAGTAATAAGTATTTGCATAGTAATCATCAATCTGTAGAAAATAAAACAATTGGTAAAATGCATTGAGAACATAAACAACCTTCTGTCAAACTAACTACCGGTAAAATTTCGTATCACTTAATTGCAATACATTTTCAGAGATATCTCAAGTTGTGTTCCAACGACCTGATAATCGTCCATACAAATGCAATGTTGTATTGTGTGAATGCCACTGTTTGCTTAACTACGTGTGAATGTTGTCCGCACTCAGTATTCCTTAGTTGTGTGAGTGCCACAGAGAGTTTTGAGCGATTTCGCAGGTTGTGTTCCAACGACCTGATAATCGTCCATACAAATGCAATGTTGTATTGTGTGAATGCCACTGTTTGCTTAACTACGTGTGAATGTTGTCCGCACTCAGTATTCCTTAGTTGTGTGAGTGCCACAGAGAGTTTTGAGCGATTTCGCAGGTTGTGTTCCAACGACCTGATAATCGTCCATACAAATGCAATGTTGTATTGTGTGAATGCCACTGTTTGCTTAACTACGTGTGAATGTTGTCCGCACTCAGTATTCCTTAGTTGTGTGAGTGCCACAGAGAGTTTTGAGCGATTTCGCAGGTTGTGTTCCAACGACCTGATAATCGTCCATACAAATGCAATGTTGTATTGTGTGAATGCCACTGGTTTGCTTAACTACGTGTGAATGTTGTCCGCACTCAGTATTCCTTAGTTGTGTGAGTGCCACAGAGAGTTTTGAGCGATTTCGCAGGTTGTGTTCCAACGACCTGATAATCGTCCATACAAATGCAATGTTGTATTGTGTGAATGCCACTGTTTGCTTAACTACGTGTGAATGTTGTCCGCACTCAGTATTCCTTAGTTGTGTGAGTGCCACAGAGAGTTTTGAGCGATTTCGCAGGTTGTGTTCCAACGACCTGATAATCGTCCATACAAATGCAATGTTGTATTGTGTGAATGCCACTGTTTGCTTAACTACGTGTGAATGTTGTCCGCACTCAGTATTCCTTAGTTGTGTGAGTGCCACAGAGAGTTTTGAGCGATTTCGCAGGTTGTGTTCCAACGACCTGATAATCGTCCATACAAATGCAATGTTGTATTGTGTGAATGCCACTGTTTGCTTAACTACGTGTGAATGTTGTCCGCACTCAGTATTCCTTAGTTGTGTGAGTGCCACAGAGAGTTTTGAGCGATTTCGCAGGTTGTGTTCCAACGACCTGATAATCGTCCATACAAATGCAATGTTGTATTGTGTGAATGCCACTGTTTGCTTAACTACGTGTGAATGTTGTCCGCACTCAGTATTCCTTAGTTGTGTGAGTGCCACAGAGAGTTTTGAGCGATTTCGCAGGTTGTGTTCCAACGACCTGATAATCGTCCATACAAATGCAATGTTGTATTGTGTGAATGCCACTGTTTGCTTAACTACGTGTGAATGTTGTCCGCACTCAGTATTCCTTAGTTGTGTGAGTGCCACAGAGAGTTTTGAGCGATTTCGCAGGTTGTGTTCCAACGACCTGATAATCGTCCATACAAATGCAATGTTGTATTGTGTGAATGCCACTGTTTGCTTAACTACGTGTGAATGTTGTCCGCACTCAGTATTCCTTAGTTGTGTGAGTGCCACAGAGAGTTTTGAGCGATTTCGCAGGTTGTGTTCCAACGACCTGATAATCGTCCATACAAATGCAATGTTGTATTGTGTGAATGCCACTGTTTGCTTAACTACGTGTGAATGTTGTCCGCACTCAGTATTCCTTAGTTGTGTGAGTGCCACAGAGAGTTTTGAGCGATTTCGCAGGTTGTGTTCCAACGACCTGATAATCGTCCATACAAATGCAATGTTGTATTGTGTGAATGCCACTGTTTGCTTAACTACGTGTGAATGTTGTCCGCACTCAGTATTCCTTAGTTGTGTGAGTGCCACAGAGAGTTTTGAGCGATTTCGCAGGTTGTGTTCCAACGACCTGATAATCGTCCATACAAATGCAATGTTGTATTGTGTGAATGGCCACTGTTTGCTTAACTACGTGTGAATGTTGTCCGCACTCAGTATTCCTTAGTTGTGTGAGTGCCACAGAGAGTTTTGAGCGATTTCGCAGGTTGTGTTCCAACGACCTGATAATCGTCCATACAAATGCAATGTTGTATTGTGTGAATGCCACTGTTTGCTTAACTACGTGTGAATGTTGTCCGCACTCAGTATTCCTTAGTTGTGTGAGTGCCACAGAGAGTTTTGAGCGATTTCGCAGGTTGTGTTCCAACGACCTGATAATCGTCCATACAAATGCAATGTTGTATTGTGTGAATGCCACTGTTTGCTTAACTACGTGTGAATGTTGTCCGCACTCAGTATTCCTTAGTTGTGTGAGTGCCACAGAGAGTTTTGAGCGATTTCGCAGGTTGTGTTCCAACGACCTGATAATCGTCCATACAAATGCAATGTTGTATTGTGTGAATGCCACTGTTTGCTTAACTACGTGTGAATGTTGTCCGCACTCAGTATTCCTTAGTTGTGTGAGTGCCACAGAGAGTTTTGAGCGATTTCGCAGGTTGTGTTCCAACGACCTGATAATCGTCCATACAAATGCAATGTTGTATTGTGTGAATGCCACTGTTTGCTTAACTACGTGTGAATGTTGTCCGCACTCAGTATTCCTTAGTTGTGTGAGTGCCACAGAGAGTTTTTGAGCGATTTCGCAGGTTGTGTTCCAACGACCTGATAATCGTCCATACAAATGCAATGTTGTATTGTGTGAATGCCACTGTTTGCTTAACTACGTGTGAATGTTGTCCGCACTCAGTATTCCTTAGTTGTGTGAGTGCCACAGAGAGTTTTGAGCGATTTCGCAGGTTGTGTTCCAACGACCTGATAATCGTCCATACAAATGCAATGTTGTATTGTGTGAATGCCACTGTTTGCTTAACTACGTGTGAATGTTGTCCGCACTCAGTATTCCTTAGTTGTGTGAGTGCCACAGAGAGTTTTGAGCGATTTCGCAGGTTGTGTTCCAACGACCTGATAATCGTCCATACAAATGCAATGTTGTATTGTGTGAATGCCACTGTTTGCTTAACTACGTGTGAATGTTGTCCGCACTCAGTATTCCTTAGTTGTGTGAGTGCCACAGAGAGTTTTGAGCGATTTCGCAGGTTGTGTTCCAACGACCTGATAATCGTCCATACAAATGCAATGTTGTATTGTGTGAATGCCACTGTTTGCTTAACTACGTGTGAATGTTGTCCGCACTCAGTATTCCTTAGTTGTGTGAGTGCCACAGAGAGTTTTGAGCGATTTCGCAGGTTGTGTTCCAACGACCTGATAATCGTCCATACAAATGCAATGTTGTATTGTGTGAATGCCACTGTTTGCTTAACTACGTGTGAATGTTGTCCGCACTCAGTATTCCTTAGTTGTGTGAGTGCCACAGAGAGTTTTGAGCGATTTCGCAGGTTGTGTTCCAACGACCTGATAATCGTCCATACAAATGCAATGTTGTATTGTGTGAATGCCACTGTTTGCTTAACTACGTGTGAATGTTGTCCGCACTCAGTATTCCTTAGTTGTGTGAGTGCCACAGAGAGTTTTGAGCGATTTCGCAGGTTGTGTTCCAACGACCTGATAATCGTCCATACAAATGCAATGTTGTATTGTGTGAATGCCACTGTTTGCTTAACTACGCTGTGAATGTTGTCCGCACTCAGTATTCCTTAGTTGTGTGAGTGCCACAGAGAGTTTTGAGCGATTTCGCAGGTTGTGTTCCAACGACCTGATAATCGTCCATACAAATGCAATGTTGTATTGTGTGAATGCCACTGTTTGCTTAACTACGTGTGAATGTTGTCCGCACTCAGTATTCCTTAGTTGTGTGAGTGCCACAGAGAGTTTTGAGCGATTTCGCAGGTTGTGTTCCAACGACCTGATAATCGTCCATACAAATGCAATGTTGTATTGTGTGAATGCCACTGTTTGCTTAACTACGTGTGAATGTTGTCCGCACTCAGTATTCCTTAGTTGTGTGAGTGCCACAGAGAGTTTTGAGCGATTTCGCAGGTTGTGTTCCAACGACCTGATAATCGTCCATACAAATGCAATGTTGTATTGTGTGAATGCCACTGTTTGCTTAACTACGTGTGAATGTTGTCCGCACTCAGTATTCCTTAGTTGTGTGAGTGCCACAGAGAGTTTTGAGCGATTTCGCAGGTTGTGTTCCAACGACCTGATAATCGTCCATACAAATGCAATGTTGTATTGTGTGAATGCCACTGTTTGCTTAACTACGTGTGAATGTTGTCCGCACTCAGTATTCCTTAGTTGTGTGAGTGCCACAGAGAGTTTTGAGCGATTTCGCAGGTTGTGTTCCAACGACCTGATAATCGTCCATACAAATGCAATGTTGTATTGTGTGAATGCCACTGTTTGCTTAACTACGTGTGAATGTTGTCCGCACTCAGTATTCCTTAGTTGTGTGAGTGCCACAGAGAGTTTTGAGCGATTTCGCAGGTTGTGTTCCAACGACCTGATAATCGTCCATACAAATGCAATGTTGTATTGTGTGAATGCCACTGTTTGCTTAACTACGTGTGAATGTTGTCCGCACTCAGTATTCCTTAGTTGTGTGAGTGCCACAGAGAGTTTTGAGCGATTTCGCAGGTTGTGTTCCAACGACCTGATAATCGTCCATACAAATGCAATGTTGTATTGTGTGAATGCCACTGTTTGCTTAACTACGTGTGAATGTTGTCCGCACTCAGTATTCCTTAGTTGTGTGAGTGCCACAGAGAGTTTTGAGCGATTTCGCAGGTTGTGTTCCAACGACCTGATAATCGTCCATACAAATGCAATGTTGTATTGTGTGAATGCCACTGTTTGCTTAACTACGTGTGAATGTTGTCCGCACTCAGTATTCCTTAGTTGTGTGAGTGCCACAGAGAGTTTTGAGCGATTTCGCAGGTTGTGTTCCAACGACCTGATAATCGTCCATACAAATGCAATGTTGTATTGTGTGAATGCCACTGTTTGCTTAACTACGTGTGAATGTTGTCCGCACTCAGTATTCCTTAGTTGTGTGAGTGCCACAGAGAGTTTTGAGCGATTTCGCAGGTTGTGTTCCAACGACCTGATAATCGTCCATACAAATGCAATGTTGTATTGTGTGAATGCCACTGTTTGC